TTTCCTTTCTTTTCTGAGGGGAGGAGAGATGTAGCCTGTGGAAGCTGCCTGACAAACTCCACGAATCTTGCAAAGCTACTGCCAAAGCAAGCTGGTAGAGCTTTCCCTCCCACATGTGTGGCACTTCTGTTATGACTCACAGAGAATGTCACACAGGTGTGTGACAAATGGACACTGGCTCCATGTGGCCCGCTATTAGGAAGGAGAAAAGGAAAGATGCTTACTGTGTAGAACCAGAACTTGACGATGGGTGCATTGTAGAATTCATAGATTTTTCTGCCCAGGGGGATGAACCGGTGCCTGCTCTGAACTTCCTCTCCATCCTTCTTTCTGGAGGACTCCCCGTTGTTTCGTCCCAACATCGCCTACAGTGGAAGAGAATCGATGTCATCATGGCAGGGCTCTGAGAGCATGTCGTTCAATGTGCTCGTGGGACAGAGGAGGAAAGGATGCTCACAGAACCTAAGAGTTCGTGGAACTACAAACCCAAGCCCCCCGAGACTTAGAGGTTGTGTCTCCCTCAGTGGGCATTTGCACTATACACGTGAGGATACTTCAAAGAGTTCATGGAAAGATTGGCATTATCTTTCAGTTCCATTTTTCCACGAATTGAAGTACCCTTGTATAATCTCTGTGTGTACGTTGCCTGGGACGGAAGGCCTCAGGGATATTTCTTGACCATTCTATTTTCTCCACCCTGGGACCTCTGGAAGATGTGGGTGATGGAAGACACCCAGAGTTCTGAGAGGAAGAAAAAGGCTTCAGGAATCTGTCCTTCCTCCCCACCTCTCTCTCCCCATATAGATCATGAAATAAGTTAGATCTGGATTCAAATTCTGTGTCTGCCTATGATGATGACTCTTAAGACAAAGGTAAATTGGATCAGAATACCTAATTTATCCAAAAGTTATGAATATTCAAGAGATAAGTTATCTGAAGTACCTGGACATCTTCCCAACCCTTAGGCCTGTGCCATGGTTCCCTGATTTCAAACCCTATAAAGCTGGAATTAACTGCTGGTATTTGTTTCAAGGTGACTCCCGAGCCACTGCCTTCCTCTGTAAAAAGGTGGGACCTGGAGAAGGACTCCAGTCAGGCCTGACCTGGATGTCCTCATCTCTAAGGTGTTGGCGATTTTCTTAAGAGTAGAATTATCTCCTTTTCATTCACGATAACAGTAGCAGTGACAACAACAATAATGATCTAATGTCACAAAAAAGGTAGACACATGCCTGTCTGGGGAGCAAGTGATAGGATGCCCCAAAGACAGCTGAAGATCCTATGGGTGAGGAGCTTTGGGCTTTGGGTCATTCAGACAGGAGTCTGAGTCCTGACTTGGACACTGAGAATTTGTGGCATCTTGGGCAACTTTTTTTTAACCTGAGACTTTGTTTATTTAATTGAAAAAATGCGGGTAATAAAGCACCTGCTATAAGGCTGGCCTCCACATCAAGGAGCATCTGGCATGTAAAAAGTGCTCAGCAAAAATTAGCTAGTCTTTAAAGTGAAACGAGACCTTCTTGGATCCTCTTGACAGAAAAAAAAAAAAAGTATGTTTTTAGGAGTCTATAATGGCATAATTTCTCAGTTTTGATTTTTCAGTATTGTTCTAAGACAAGGTTAGTTCTACAACGCTTGGGAAATGAGATTTTTTTTTTAAATGTGAGAAAAGGATAAGACCTTGTAATTGCTCAGGACTGACAAAGATTTAGGGCAAGTCAGAGTACTGGAAACATAAGCTTAACGTTGAAAGATCTAATTATAGAAATTGTTTTGAAGTTGAGAATAGAGACACCTGGTTTCAGGCTACCTTGCCTAAAATATACAAATGTTAATTTCAACTACTTGGATTACTCCTTCAAATAACCACTTTATTCAAATACATAGCAATCACAAATGATTTACTTGTAACCACAGGATTTCTGGAGACGATCACTTCCATTCCTTTGTGGACCCTTTGGCTAAAAAGGGTAATGAGTAGGTCAGATTCCACACTAAGGCCTCTCTAAGTTTATTTTGATTAGTGAGCTGAGTCAACCTTCATGATGAATATAGCACACTGGACAGCAACAGAGTTCTATAAATATTGATCACTGACCTCAAGAAACTCTGCGGTTACATGACATTTGTCCTTCTATAACTTATAATTGATGTAACATAATTTTCTTGCTTCTGTTCTGCTTATTTATATGTTTGACGATACAATGCCATTTGGGGACACAATGAGATGGGAGTGAGGCAGTGTGGAGGCTCTTAGGCATCTTGGGGCAACCTCTAGGGACAGTGGCTTTCCCAACGGAGCTATAGCCATGCCCTGGGACTGTGGACTTGTTGGGACTTGAACCGGCAAAGCATAAAGTGGAGACACTTATCTGACAGTGCAGGCAAACAGAAGCAAAAATGCAACAGCCCGTTTTGCCTTTATTATTCAGATATATTCCAAAGTGAATGCATTTGTAAAAGGCTTGTCTTTCATAGGTATAAGTAAGGAATTAAATCAAAATTGAAACATAATTGATTGTGCATATCTGTGTGGTACAGTGCTGAATATCAATACCTGTGTTAGGGCAAGTCAGAGTACTGGAAACATAAGCTTAACGTTGAAAGATCTAATTATAGAAATTGTTTTGAAGTTGAGAATAGAGACACCTGGTTTCAGGCTACCTTGCCTAAAATATACAAATGTTAATTTCAACTACTTGGATTACTCCTTCAAATAACCACTTTATTCAAATACATAGCAATCACAAATGATTTACTTGTAACCACAGGATTTCTGGAGACGATCACTTCCATTCCTTTGTGGACCCTTTGGCTAAAAAGGGTAATGAGTAGGTCAGATTCCACACTAAGGCCTCTCTAAGTTTATTTTGATTAGTGAGCTGAGTCAACCTTCATGATGAATATAGCACACTGGACAGCAACAGAGTTCTATAAATATTGATCACTGACCTCAAGAAACTCTGCGGTTACATGACATTTGTCCTTCTATAACTTATAATTGATGTAACATAATTTTCTTGCTTCTGTTCTGCTTATTTATATGTTTGACGATACAATGCCATTTGGGGACACAATGAGATGGGAGTGAGGCAGTGTGGAGGCTCTTAGGCATCTTGGGGCAACCTCTAGGGACAGTGGCTTTCCCAACGGAGCTATAGCCATGCCCTGGGACTGTGGACTTGTTGGGACTTGAACCGGCAAAGCATAAAGTGGAGACACTTATCTGACAGTGCAGGCAAACAGAAGCAAAAATGCAACAGCCCATTTTGCCTTTATTATTCAGATATATTCCAAAGTGAATGCATTTGTAAAAGGCTTGTCTTTCATAGGTATAAGTAAGGAATTAAATCAAAATTGAAACATAATTGATTGTGCATATCTGTGTGGTACAGTGCTGAATATCAATACCTGTGTGCAATAGGTGATGCTCAAATCAGGATAATTACATATATTCACAAAAAATAATTATAATGTGTAAGGCTGAATAAACTACGTAAGGAATTTTGACATTTCATTAATTCCAGCCTAAGCAGCTTAACTTGCTGATTTCGTTGATTTCTCTTCCCCATTGTCAAACATCTCCTCTGATATTCCTTAAAGCAGAATTTAACAGGGTCAAATACAGACAAAACTACACAGTATGGATTTGAGAATCTTCACTGGCTGGACACAGATGTCAAGGCTGAGAAAGATCCTTTGAGGTGAACTAAACTACTGAAGCCTACAAAGTGGAGGGAACTGAGGTGGATGTTTTTGTGTGTAGGTTTGGAAGGCCAGAGGACAACGTCCCATTCCAAGAGAGGGTCTATTGGTTTAGCACAGAAGCTCAAACATCAGTCCTCTGAAAGGAGTGCTGGGTCAACAAGCTGCCCTCTCCAGTCCTGTCCAGGATGAGCCTGGTGACCAGTGTCCAAGCAAGGACAGAATTTGCCCCCAGAGTCAAAGGAGGCTCTGCTTTAAAGACGACTTCTGCCCAACAGAGAGTCCACCAGCCCTGAAGTCCCTTTCCCCCTTTCCTTCTCCCGCTGTCTCTGGCTGTGGAGCACAAGCTCAGGCAGGAATGCTACTGCGAGGTCGTCCACCTGGCTTCTCAGTACACAGCACCAGGGGCTGTCTCTGGTAAGCAGACTTCGCTCTCAGTCTGGCAATGCACCGTTTTATTGGGGCCACTTGAAGGATCAGGTCCTTGCAGCTCAGACTGAGCAGGAGAAGCTAAATCCACTTGTTTTCTACCTTGAGACCCAACCAGAGAGAATGCTATTCAGCTCCGGCTGCCTTCCCAGGATATGTGCTAAGGGCAAGGCCACACCTCACCTGTCTTAGGCCTGGGTGTCACTTTTGGATTCTCTGTGCTATGTGGTAGACCAAACCAACTGAGCACCTACATTTGAGATACCCTCTCTCTCTCTAACCTAGTGGCTAAAAGTGTGGCCAATGGAGTCTACCTGCCTGGGTGCTGATCCCAGCCTTCCTACTAATGAGTTGGGTAAACCTGGGCAATTTAACCTCTCTGAGTCCCATCTTCCTTATCTGTAAGATAGGGATAGTGCCTACCTCATGGGATTTTTGTGAGGACAAATGCATGTAAAGCACTTAGCACTGTTATAACAACATCAGTGAATATTTATCAATGTTTACAGGCTAAGTAGTTTGCACGCACACTTTTAAAACCACATAACTGCCTGTGAGGTAGCCAAGGTCATCATTCCCATGTTAGAGGTTACAAAACTGCACCAAGGTCACACAGCAAGTAGGTGATGGGGCAGAATTTTGGCTCTAAAGCACATTGTGTTGAAATACTCAATAAAGATTTGGTATTATTATTATCAATGTTTCTGCTAATGATTAAAATATCATTTGCTGAAAAGAATAAAAAGAAGAAAAAAAAGAAAATATCATTTCCTATCCTTGAAGGGGTTTAGAGGCCAAAATTATGGTGAGATCTTTAGGGAAGACAGTCATCTGATGCTATTATAGCAGTGAGCAGACTCCTCCACAGATTTTTTATAAGGATTCCGAAACTGAAACGGAAGTTTGCTTTTAATTCAGTGAGTCAGGGACTGTGCCTGCAAATAACTCTTTAGGAAGGGCTGCCTGGAAGGAATGATTGTTGATCTGGAGGAAAAACAATTCACAAGGTGGTCTCACTAGGATAATAACACAAAGGCCTTTTGTCACCTGAGCAAAACCAATTTTTGTTTTCTCTTCTTACAGCTTCTTCTGGGTCTTTACAGCAACTGTCATCGGCCAGGGTGGTGCGGGAGGGTGAGGCATATCAAGGAAGTCCTCATGGGGTTGGTGCGTGATGTCTCCCAAGCTATGAAGCCTTGCTTGTCCCTTTAATAGCAGGGATATTTTTAGCCTTTGGGTACAAGCCAGTGGCAGTCACGCTGCTCAGGCGGGGGTTGCGGGAAGCTGTCCCCTGCCCAGCTGTCCCATTTCCTCTGCAGAACAAAGCTTCCATGCTCTATAATTATACCAGGAAGAGCTAATAAAAGCTTTCCATACAAACCTCGAAATTCAATTAGTGCTGTATTTGTGGGCCTGACCCCAAAGACAGATACAGGCTTAGCTCCTCATCAGCAGAACGGTTCCAGCTCAGTGAAGCTGGCTGTTCCCAAATCACAGATTCCCTTTCCTTCTTCGTGAGCTGACACTGCCACATCATCTGGTTGTTTATAAAGCTTTGCTTATTTGGGAAATTTAGGATGCCCTGCTTTTGAATTTCATTGGTTTGTCTCACTCCACTGATGCTGGCTGAACGATTTCACATGCAATCGGATCCTAGAGTCATGTTATTTGTGCATAGTCTCTATATGTCTCACAGACACTTTTTAATACCCTGGTCTCCATACTTAAATGAAAGCACCCCAAAATTAAACCTGGGGGGAGGCTGGGGAATAGGTGTCTGACCTTGAGAGTTACTGAACCTTAAGCCCTATTAGCGGGACAAGCAGATCAGGGATTCTCCCCAGGAGAATAACTATAGCTCTTTCTTACTGTCAGTTCCATGTCTTCTTCATCTTTTTCCTTTGTGGGCTTCTCTGGTTCTTCTACCTCCTTCTCTTGGAGATGAATTTCCTGGGCCTGAGACATATAGGGCATGTCGTCTTTGTTCTTGAACTCCAAGCTGAGAATTGAAGGAGGAAGTAGAATTCCCAGAATTACCTAAAGTAATAATAATGATAATAATAATAATCACATTTAAAGGATTAAGATTAGGGTGGTTGCTTAGATTCAGAGGGCCTGGGGTGTGGTGTATAAGTGTGTGTGTGTGTGTGTGTGTGTGTGTGTGTGTGCGCGCGCACGTACGCCCATGTGCACACAGATGTTGTATGCTCTGTGTGGGGACCTGGACGTTTGAATAACCAAACACATTCATGCTAAGAGGGTCACTTCACCCCATCTGGGAAATGTTTTGCACAGTAGTTCAGTCTAAGTTTTGGAGAAACAAAGCATTTTTCCCAAGTATGTTTTACCCAACTAATACCCACTTTGCCA